CTTTCAACAACTGAAGTGTTTCCATGACAATGTTTTCAAACAGTAATGGCTTCACAAGGATTAAAAAGAAAACAAAAATAATTAATAAAAGCTCCTCCAGTCATCACAATATATTTATACATGGATAAATGGCAAATTGTAATACCTGTACAAAAAGTTGTTTACACCTACTGTCATTATGAAACTATATCAAACAGGATGTGGTGCGATGACCACTGTCATTTAACAATGTATTAAATTTGAAGGTGTTTGTTTGATTTTTCATTTGATTCTTGTTTGTTAGTGCACAATATTTGAAATCTACCATATCATATTTTGTATATATTATTTATTCATTTTTGATAATAAATTCCAGTATTCCCTTTACCTTCATCTAAACCATAAAATACAGTGAATAAAGTAGAATGACATGTTTAGTTGATCAGAAAACTTACCAGTGTTGTTATTCCACTGTTTTCTTCTAATTGTATACACCACAGTTCTCTATGGTGTAAAGCTTTAATGTCTAGAGAAATAACAAAAAAACAAATTAACATAATGTGATGAAAACCTCCATGGATAGCCAAAATGATTGAGTTATCTGTTTAACTGCATTTTTGTTAAATAATACTTAAGCCCATACATGTGTGTTATATAAGACATGGGCCCCATATTGTGTGTTATATGAAATAAGGCCCAGAAATGTGTGTTATATAGAAAACAAGCCATGCATGGCACAGTCCCTATTAGTTATCAAATTCAAGATATATAGTTTTGTTTATAGTAATATAGTTGGAACATGAACATGTCAGAGATATGGATCCAGAAGCTGATTCTTGATGATTTTTTAACATTAAAATGACTGATATTCAATATTCAACAATGTAAAAAGTTGTGAATTTAATTCACATTGTAGTGTGTTTTGCAAACAGTAAAATAAGTGAAAATTACAACCCAGCAAATAATTAAATCTTGAGAAGTGCACTCACCTTGTATAGCTTGTTGAAATAGTGACATCATGCAATGTGATCTCATTGCTAGTGTTAAATTCTGGATATATTCCAAAGATACTGCTGGTAATTCTAAACTGGCTAATAGACTATATAATGACCTGTAGGAGGAAAAAACGAAAAGAATAGCTTGACAAAAAGACCCAGTCTGAGATTACACAATTCCCTGCTGTTCATAGTTACTACGTTCACGTTACAGGATCTCGGCATGTGCTGAAATTTTTAATCCTTCATGTTTCGTACGCATATGATGATAATAATAATTGCTATATTGAAATTTCATCCATTTGCTGCTATGGTATTTATTACAAGTTGACCAGCATCCGGCCATATCTAGCTGCACTTCCCTCAATCATCTTGTAATACTTGTATGAATTCGTATACATTTGTATGTTCTCTTATGTTGATTTTGGCTCGTGTTGAGTATTCAGGCAGCAAATCTCGGGATGTGCTGAGACTCGGGACCGAAACTATAATGTGAATGCCACTATTATGTACATGTATTACAAAATGTAAGTGTTTGTTTCATTATTATTATTTTTGTACCATTGACATTGAATGTAAAATGTTTTCCCTTCTGATTTTGTTGTTGTTAAGAGGTAACCATACGTGCAGTGGTCCATAACGACATAACATTGGGACTACAACATTGGTCTGGTCAGCTACCATGATATTACTGGTGATTGGCCGTCATGCTATTGGTGATTTTGAACTTGATACCTACCAATATGTCTGGTCAGCAACCACTATGCAATGAGTGATCAGTTTTTATTATGTATATTCATGTCAATCATTGTCATTGTGTATTTACCTCCAGGATAACAATATAAAATGAGCCTGAGCTGTTTTGCAAAGAAAAATTTTAAGCACAGCTGACTTTCATAGCATTAAGGGTATTATAGTGAAAGCAAAAATTGTGGCCAATAATATTTCACATACTGAATTTCAATTTCAGCGAGTAATTACAATTCGGTGGGGTAGCCAGGCACTCCTGCTGTCTACAACTAATTTTACTAACCTTACGATTCTAACACAGTGTGGTAGCCATGCACTACCACTGTCCTGTTTATTATCTTCTTTCCATACACCAAACTTTTTTCTTTCATCATGTGGTAATTTTACCAATGTTTGTGGTAAGAATGCAGCTCTGACCAAGTATGCAAACTGCCTGCAAATCTCAGTTAACTTTTTCTGAAAAACAATTAATGAATGTTTTTATTTTCAAAATGTATTACCACATAAGAAATTTTTTTGATTATTATATAAAATATTAAACAGTCCACTAAACCATCAAATGTTTGTAGTGGTGAAAGGTGGGATCTAACACAAACCCCTTGTTTAACCCTTTGAATTCATTTGCAGGTATCCAATCCATTCAATAATCACATGCATTTGTTTTTAAAATTGTTACATAATTATCAGTGTAGACATCTGTCATCTGTCGTCAGAATTCCCAACAATTTGAGTCAACCATTTGTAACTGCCATACATACATTTTTTTCACTATAACCTAACACAATTTTGAGATACGATGTAAGGGTTTTACCATAAGAACATTTTTTGTGCGAAAAGTAGTTTGATGACCATACATTTTTTTCTGGATTTTGTAAGCAACAATATAAAATAAAAACTATATGGTAAATGTCAAAAATCCTGCCTTGGGTTTTAGCTTTTTCTCCACCAGACTTTCTCACCTAAATTTGTTTGCAGTATTCTATCCTAATTTTTAAGTCAACAGACAAAATTTGAGTCAATTTTCAGTTTTTACTCAAAAAAATTTGGTTGTTTTTTCCCCAATCTTCTGAAGGAAAAGTGCAGACTATAAACATGACTACTTTGTGAATTTGGATTAAAAGAGGTGATTGGTGGTGAAAAGGTAGTCTGAACTGTCAATCTTTGAATTCTTCTCACCAAATTATTGGTTAATTTTGCACATTTGTATGCAATTTTCAACTACTTTTATGCAGACAACTTTTAATTTTGAACCAAATAAACATGATTTCCTATTGACTACAGGGAATGGTAACAATTTAAAATAGAAGGTAAGATGATAACACTTACTTTAAATAAATTTTCTTTCTTAGCATCTACTGATCTGTCCTTTTTACCACCCTGTTATCAACAAAAGAACAAACAACACTGAATACAAACTGTCTATTGCGGTGATCAGACACAACATTTGTATCAATATAGCTGTATTTAAAAAATGTGAGGATCAATATAAGTAATCGCTGTATCAATCTAAAATGGTTGGAGCTTGAGTCGAGATTGATATATTTGCTCTATTGGCAGTAAATCTCCAACACATAAGCCAACAATTGCAGTGATCTGATGCAAGATCTACAACATAATACTTGATATTGTATCTAGCAAATCCTTCTTATCAGTCAGTATACTTACAGTTGTGTACAATTCACCTTTACAATAAGCTGATCCAAGTTTCCAAAAGTCTGGTAAGTCCTCTTCTACTATCTCTACCAAATCTTCTAAAAACGTTACTTTATGTGGTGGGTTAAATTTATCTGCAAATGATAAATTGACTGTATGATTCATTTCTAGTTTTAAAGTGAAGTCTACACAACAATGCATGGCTTAGGTTATTGTGTCTACAACTCCATACAAGACAAAAGCTAATCTAAATACCAATTCAATTGAAATTAATCTAATTAACACCACTCATTAGAATGTAGAAAGATTCAGGGGCCGAATTAAAAACAAATACTTGGTTATCCAGTCAAAAAACAATTTAAACAAGCAGCCTGTCGGCTGAGATAGCTCCGCTGTTAGCAATGCACATGGCAATTAAAGAACAGAAAATTTCATTAGAAAATGAACAAATCTGAGAGAGGTCCACATGTAGTAACTATATATGTAATATCAAAGCAATTGGACTTGTGTTTTTTAACAAGAAGTCGAAAATATCACTTTTTTACCAAAA